TGGTGGCAGTTGTGGTAATGTGAGAATTCAAAGAAAATTGTTGATGTTGTAAATTTTTGGATCATCATCACTATCTTATCTGAAAAGATTCTTTAACTGTTGAAAACATCCTGTTTATGTGTGTATTCGCTTGTATAAGAAGTGGCAGTATATGCTAACCTCAACTTTCATATAAATATTCCAATAATTTTGGGGCTACTGTTGGTAGTCCAAATACCCAAGAAGTGTATTCTCCACTGTATGTATTTTGACTGCCATAAATACACAGAGGAAACATGGAGTTTTGATAACCACACATCTTATCATGACCATCAAGTGACTTTGTTAAATTTGGTCCCTATTTCAGTATAAAATTAAAAAGAGTTGCACTTCCTGGGACAAAAGTGAGGATATTCTATTTTAAAAGTAAGTTGAGTTTGATCGTCCAGGCGAACATAGTCCTGAATAGGACTGTTGTTGTTGACAGTGACTGACATTTCGACAACCTGTGCGGTAGTCATCTTCAGAGTCAAAGTGAGTTGTATCACGTCAGTTGATGGTATTATACTCAGGTTATTGATCTGATTGGTCAATTATGTCGAGATGTTGTTCGTCGTCTGTCAGTTAAGCCGTGATGTTATCGCCTGTGAAGACTCGTAATCAGTAATTGGTGTGTTTCGATTCGTCTATTGTTGTAGTTAAACAATCGTCTCTCCTTTTTTTGTCAAATTGTCAGTTCCCCAGTCCTTCTCTAGTAGTTAGTTTTGCTTGATCTCGTCAATAAGTCATTTGTACAGCGCTGGTAACTGTTGGCTACGATTCAGTGGTGTTTTTTCTTAGTAAACCAGCTTTCTAAAGTAAGACGTTGATAGTAGTCTGTAGAATACGTTATACATGTTGCAGAGTCCCAGTCAAGAAAGCTGGTTATTCTTCATTTATCAAGCAAAACAGACGACAGAAAAAAAGGTGAAACAATTATCATTGTTTACCAGCTGTATTCCTCATCAGTAACACAGGAAATTTATGGTATTCAATACTTAAGTTATATTAGTATATAGGTCAATCTCTAAGCAACAAGATCAAAGTGAATGCAAAACAATAAAGAAGTATTTGTAATTGTACTTCAAATTCCTATTTCATGTAGATTTGAACGTGACTGAGGCAAGTGTGAGGGTTCTTGGCTCTCTACAGCATTTTTAAAGATCATATGGTAGACCTCGCTGCATATTAGCCACTCAGGAAGGCGGAGGTGTCATGAAGGGACCCCCCTTTACTCATGTTGCCGGGTTAAAACAAAAACGCTACCTTTTGTGACTCTTGTTAACAGTTATAATAAAATTGGCATAATATATATATTTAGCCACAGCTAAAAGCGAAGCTCCCATTGATAAACTTATAACTTAAATCAAACAATAATTTTGTATTCCACAAAGCAGTTAACTTAGGGGCACATTCATGTGACTTTTGAGGGAAAAGCTAAGTGATTTTGGAGTGAAACAAATTTTCTATCGAGTTGATATAGCCTTATATGTACACCCAAAAAATAGTCTTCGGTCACATTTAAGAGCAATGATGGCTCTTGATCACAGTAGATAAGGCATGGAAAACAAATTCTTGGAAAACAAATCAGACCGAATTTTTGCGTTCGACAAGTTTTCAAATTCTCGCCAATAAATCTGGGTACGTGCAAACCAATCTTTTATTTTTTTTATACACCACATCTGAGGAGAAAGAGTACTATGAGGCGCTGTTTTTAGCATACAGACCTCGTACAAAATGCAGTATTTCACAATTTTTCAAGACAAATTGCATTCATTCAATATCCAGGACCATCGAAGCACGCGTGGACTTTTAATTAGCGAAACCGTTCAAAAAATTTCCAAAATCACCTTTACGGCCAGCCGGTTCTTACTTTTGACAAGCGCCAAATTTGCGAAGAAATTTTAAAAGAGTTACGCTTCAACGTGATAAAGAATTTATTGAGTCTATTTTTTATTAACAGTTTTATAACGATGTGTAATCTTAAAAAGTGTTTGATATGCTTGGCATTTTGAGTACTCCTCAAGCGATGTTTATGAGCGGCTGAAAACAAACGGCAAAGCGATGAAAACTACACTTTTGAGACTACCAAAAATCAATAAAGAAAAATAATTCGATAGAACGTTTACAGAGACAACAATTTTCATTCACGAAAACAAATGAGTATTTAAGTGTGTCTAAGAATCCTCAAGTCTTTACTAGTAAGATTAAAGTTTATGTTTTAAGCCGCCGGTTTCCCGGTGTTGGCTGTTTTCAAAGATGAACTCACGACCAGAAAATCGTTCAAAGCTTTCTTTCTACAGCCAAAATTATAACTAATTATTATTCGGAAAGTTTTTTCTTTCTATTTACGGTGGATTAATATCGACTAAAGGCTTTTTAAAGTTCGTAAGCTTAAGCTTATATCAAACCTCATACGAGGTCAGGTCAATGTCTCAGTCAAATCTTAATACAAACGTGCATAAACTAGCTTCATAAACTGCACAGCTGGACTTCATGAAATTAGATATAAATACAATAATTACTCAGGCTTACCATATTCGAGATGCAGCTCCTGAAAGCTATCAAGTAAGGCAAGGATCGCTTGAGCCTTTATAATTCTTGTATGCATCCAGCAAGGTGAAAAACAAAAACGATGCCATCCGAAATCAGATTATCGGCTTTGACAAGCGATGCATTTTTCAACCAAAAACCCAATAAACAAACCAGCCAGGAATAAGAGAACACTCTTAATAGCAGCTGTCTTTCATTTTGTACATCCAGTGGAAAAAGACAGTTAAAAACATCACAAGTTGACTCAAAATTCTGTCAGCTTCAGCTGTCAAAGTAAACAACTTTCAAGATGCTGCATAAATTTTACGCATGAACTCACCTGTAAAATTTTAACCAATCAGAGCATAAAAATTGGACGTGGAGCGTGACCAACACGTGACCATGGTAAGAAAAGGTCTTCCCCGCCTGTATTTCGAAAAAACTGGCTGAATTTTTGCGTCTCAGGTCAGTTTGAAATCAAAATTGTAATAGTGCGGGGCGATACTGACATAAACACAACATATTTGTTGTGAATTTAAAACAAAAGTAAACGTGAGCCTGCGATCATTTGAAAATGAGTAAATTGTCAGCGGAAAACTTCAAAAAATACTCGACCTTGATGGAGTGACACCTGAGCCCGTGATAAGTCAGGTGATAGTGGTCAGCGGATACCCTGTTTTGACAGCTGTCAATTGATGACAACATTGATGAGCAATCAGCTTTCTCCTGGGCTCCCAAAGTAGCTAGAAAGTGTGAGAGTAAACATTGGTATGCTTGTGGTGCGGACGGACGGTTGGTCGGTCGCTCAGTCACGTGATTACCAAATTTTCTGGGATGGGTAGATTTCCTTAGCTATGGGGCTCCGCCGCGCATGGAGCTCTGCTATAATTTTGTTTTGGGGTTTTTTGTGCCCTCACCTTTACTGGGCTGATATTTAAAGTATGTTTTTCAGACAATAGAATGTTGATA